TTTTCTTTATCTGCAGTTTCTACTCAGAGACTAATATAAGCCTTCAATCTGAGAATCTGAGAGAAATGGCACTGTAATTTTCATATGTATAAATCTTTATAAATCAGGTTTATAAAAAATCAGAAATTTTTAGGACGCACATTCTTGCTGTAATTTCACAATTTAGTTTACACTTGAGAGAATATACCTCATTTCAGGAAAGTTTTTGGCTTTTTTGTAATAACAGCAGACAGAAATGAGCTGCAGGTTGCCCACTCCTACATAACTGCAATGCTTGACATTCATTGAGGTAATGCCTATCTTGTCACGCTGGACTTCCTTTTGGACCCAAATTTGAAGTCATAACCTTGTGCTGTCTGTATGCATAGCCACTCCAAGAATGAAATAGAACTTCTGGATAAATAAAAACTTTTGTACATATAACCTAAATTCAGCTCCAGTAATTATTAAAAATTCATTTCAAAGGGTTTTTTTGCTTTTGTTTGTTTGTTTTTTTCTTAATCAAGACTCAGCTCAGTATCTACAGATTTACAAAATAAAAAGCCCCAAGGAAGACTATGGAATCAGCTCTAATCTTACCTTGGTTGGTATCAAAACTTTGGACTTTCTGTCTGTGGAAAGGAAATTTCCATTCAGCAGTGAGATGGAGTCCAGCAGGAACCCTTCAAACCACACCAAACAAACAAGAGGACACACTATTTATATGACGAAAAAGAACACGTTTACAACATGTACCAAAATACGGGTTCTTATATAAAGAAATAAACCTTTCTTTTCAATAGCAAGGATTTTAATTATTGCTTATTGAGTTATAAAGCAAAGATTTATCAAACTATTCACTCTTTTCAACATAGAGGGCTTCCATAACTGAAAATTCCAATTTCCAGTTACTGAACACTTTTTTAACAAAAGCAGTCGATGAAGAAATTAAATGTAGTTGTTTGTCTTTGTTACTGTTGGTGTGTTGAAACAGGATGGGACTGCATGCATCAAATAAAAAAAAAAAAAAAAAGTAAATCCTATTACTTTAGTGTTGTGAGGAAGAGAACACAATGAAAACTTGTGATAAGTTTCTCAGTAAACCAGAGATTAAAGAAACAACTTGTTTGACTCATTTTTATACTTCATTTTAGACTTCTTTTTTAACTACTCTGGATAAAAATCCAGTTACACGAGAAATTTTGTACTTTACTTTGTAAATTTGGTGAATGACTCATAAGCTTGCAGTAGTGCTGTTATGCAAGCTATACTAATAAAATATGTATGCTTGGCAAAAATTTCATCTGATCCTGCCAGAATTTAGAGCACCTTTTTATTCAGAGGCATTTGACGTCAACTGGTGCCCTTTGGAGAGAGGAATATGGTGGGGAAAAATGACCGTTCTATTCTAGATTCCAATTTTAGACTCCAAATAACTTCAATTACATGTAAACATAGCCATTGACCATAACTCTAAATAACTATTAAAAGCATACAAAATGTTTTAAAATACTTGTTTGTATTACATATTATCACAGTAAAGAACCAATGTGGCTACCTGCTGTTGCTCAAACCAATATGCATTGAACAGGCCTAAGTCTGGAGTATTCATCCTCTCCTGCATTTGGACAACCCTCTGCAGAACTTACCTATCAGTCATGTCAAATCTCTGTGGGCTTTAGCAGGTTTGTTTGCCAACAGATGATCTGAAATAGTTAAGCAGAAAATGCAACAGAAAACAGAATGTGTCTTTGAAATTATACACCTGTATGCTACTGAAAGCTGCAAGAAAAACTTGATTTTCCTATTTAAAGATAAGGAGAGTCAGACTGATTGGGATAATTACTACCAACTCTTCCAAGCAAATACAAAAATCTTTATCCAACTGAGCAAACTGCTGGGATGGTGTTTAGGCCTGCAGTAGTTGAAGACCTGACTCAGGCACCTGTCAGTCGAGATCACTTGTAAAAGGAATGAGTACCTACTTTTCCATTCCCTGGAAACGTGTGCTGTCTACCTCAATTACATATAAAAGTAATCTAAACTAGTTAAGAATAAATGTATGCAGAAATTGCCAATACACAATGGTTTCTTAAAGCAGTGGCAAGCTACATGAGTCTTCTCATAGAAACAACAGTGCCAAAGCCCTTCACCCAGAGCCCAATTTCCTTGCAAGGCTGGAGCCCAGCCATTTTCCAAATAGCTGCAGACACACACAGTGGCTGCAGAACTGGAGGCAATGTCCGGGCAGCTCTCCTCCTTCGTGCAGCTACCAAGTGTTCAAATCTTATCAATACTCATCTATCATCTAACTTCCTACTAGGAGAGCTTAGAATTGACAATGTACATCTGGATCAGCAGAACCCTCAACGTTGGCCCAGCATGATACAGACTGACATCACCAAGGATTTCATGTACTACTGCCTCATTACTGTGAACTCCACAGTTTCAGCTACTGTCAGCTCCAGTTGCTGGTCATCAGGCATGTAGTAATGAGCAGAGTAAAGCTTGCTGGAGGCTTCCTGGAGCACTGTCTTAGCAGGGAGGGCCTGCTGCCTGCAGCTGAGGAATGCAGTAAAATCTGTTAGACCTGTCAGAGTGACTGCAGATAAAAAAGCACACAAGAGCCCTGCGTGAAAGCTGTGCATTAAATATGGCCCTTGCCTTGGTCTCTTCCAGAGCACCTTGCCTAGATGCACATCCTTGTAAGATGGTCACATGTAGCTGCTTTACACTTCCACAGACAGATACAACGCAGAGCTCAGGGAAAGTCTGAGTACTGAATGTTTTAAGCAGGTGACCCATCAAGTGGAATGCAAACCCTAGACATGTCACAGGCTGGAATACTTCAGAGACTAGCTGTAGATTTGCACATAGCTAATCACAAGGAAGAGCAGCGACTGCTTTAGGCATATGACACATCTGAACCATCCTTCATCTCTGGAGATTAAAGCCAATCCCCAAGGCTTCAAGGGGTCCACTCACCTCCTTTCTGTCTGATGGGAGAATGCACGAGCACTAATTGACTTTACAGACTTTCCACTAAGTGGCTTGCCCTGTCGCCTCTTCCCCACAGCTGCTTAGGTGGTGAGCACTTGCTGAAGACTCAGACACTTCTGCTTCCTTCTGCTGATAGAGACAGCCTCCTCGCCCAAGCTCATGTGCAGGATCCACTGCTGCTGTTACCCCTTCAGAGTAATACAGCTCATCCAATTGCTTTTTGCACCCAACCAGCCTAAACTTGGGATTCCCTAGCACAGAACAACCAAAACACCTTTTTATTTTACTTAAACTGTGCATAAACAAGACCTGGGCAGGACAAAACTGATGAACTGTGCCAATTCCTGCATGCAACCTGTGTTTAAGTACCTACAGGCAGCAAGTCATCTATTGCATTTTGAACCTCTTTTACTGGAGGTTGACTTATGTTATAACTCATCATTCTTGCCATAATGCTTCAAGAATATTTGCCACACCACCTCAGTCACATTTTGTTTCCATACTGAGGGAGCCTCAGAGTAGTGCTGTTGGTAAACAACGAATTTTTCATTCCAGCTACATATCCACATGAACAGGAGACTTGGCCAAACAGGGCTCAGGACTGCACCATTCCTGCTCAGAGAGCATTTTCCAGGTTTTGGTCATGGTGGCTTGGATGTGCTTCATCTTTCTTCCTGAGAAGGACTTGGGGGTGTTGGTTGATAAGAAGCTTCCTATGATCCAGCTTCAGTGCACGCTTGAGCCCAGATCTCCCGTGTGCTGGACTGCATCCCCAGAGCATGAGCAGCACGTCAGGGAGGGGATTCTGTCATTCTGCTGCACTCTGGGGAGACCACCCCTGCAGTCCTGTGTCCAGCTCTGGGGCAACAACACAAGAGGGATGTGGAGCTGTTGGAGTGAGTCCAGAGGAGGCCACAGAGATGCTGCGAGGGCTGGAGCAGCTCCGCTCTGGAGACAGGCTCAGAGAGCTGGGCTGGTTCAGCCTGGAGAAAATACGGCTCCTTAAGGGGAGACCTTAGAGCAGCTCCCAGTGCCTAAAGGGGCTGCAAGAAACCTGGAGCAGGCTTTGGACAAGGGCCTGTAGGGACAGGACAAGGGGGAATGGCTTTAACCTGACAGAGGGGAGACTGAGATCAGATCTTAGGAAGAAGTTCTTCCCCGTGAGAGTGCTGAGGCCCTGGCACAGGTTGCCCAGAGAAGCTGTGGCTGCCCCATCCCTGGCAGTGTTCAAGGCCAGGTTGGACGGGGCTTGGAGCAACCTGGTCTAGTGGGAGGTGCCCCTGCCCATGGCAGAGTGTTGAACTGGATGGGCTTTAAAGTCCTTTCTAACACAAACCATTCTATGATTCTATGATTCTTTCAACTGACTGACCACGACCTGTTCCTGCAGTAGTTTGGAAGAGCCATCACTACACCCCACACAGCTCATTTGTGTAGACTTACATGGCCAGAGACATTTGCGTCCCACTCTCAAAGAAACAACAGAGCCGGAAACCCTTTACATTTAACAACCCTAGCTATGCTAAATCCCTTAAACATGAACGCTACCACCACAGCAACCTACAGGATGTATGACCTGTTCAAAACCAAGGGCATGGTTTTGCAGGAAGGTGTGAAGATGTACCTTCCTTTAGCGTGGGTTCAAGCCGAAGCTCTGGCAAAGGCTGGAGGCTGGCAGAGGAGCCGGGACGACAGAGCACGCACACACACCCACCGCCCGGCTCCATCTAGGGAGAAGCCGTGGGGGCAGGATCTCTGACACGAGCTGCTTCAAGCCAACCTCCAGCTGAGGGTCGGGTGTCCATACCCAAAGCTCTTCCAATGGTAAAGTCTTTCGCAGCAAAAGAAAAGAATCTGCCCCTTTACCTCCTCTATTCAAGAAAAGGCACTCTAGTTTCGGGTGAACGTTGCCCTGCCCCGGCGCTTGCGAGTCGGGGGCATGCCCGCTGCTTTCTCCGAACTGCAGCCATCGCCGCGAAACTCAGCCCTCCTCCTCCCGCGTCCCCCCCCTGGTCCCGGCAGGAAGGGGAGGATCCGCCACCGCCCCAGAAAGCTGTGCCACTGGTACCGCCGCGCCCCTAGATCGGTCGGTTCCCCTTGCTTCGCCGGCCGACCCTAGCTTCTCCGTGGCCCGGAGCCGCACCGGGGCAGGCGGAAGGGAGTCCCGCCGCTATGTCTCAGCCCGGGACGGGGAGGCAGCCGCCCCCCGCCGCGGTAAGGTGGGGCTCGGGCGGCGGGGCGGGTGGCTGTAGCCCCCAGGGCGCTGTGGGGATGGCAGTGGCGAGCCCCGGCGGCGCTGCCCGAGCTGCCTCCCGGGCTCGGCGTGGCCGCGGTCGCTGCCCTGGTGCCGTAGGGCCGGCAGTGGGAGGCTGCTGCCGCGGCGGTGCCGCCCTGGGGTGGAGGCGGCTGGTGGGGCGGGGTGCGGCCCAGGCCTCGACGAGCCGAGCCGGGCAGCAGGGAGCAGCGAGCCGAGGGCAGCACCATGGCTTTCGCGCGGTGGTGGTACGCCACGGTAAATGCAGGGGTGCGGCGGGACGGCCGGGGAGCCTGGGCCACCCCCGGGGGAAGGAACGGGGCGGCGGCGTGCCGCTCCGGCGGGCGGCCTCCCCTCTCTGTCTTTAAGACTTAGGAAAGGATTTTACGGTGACAGAAGGTACATCAGCGCTTTCCCCCCCCCCCCCCCCAAAGCGTTCGTGCAGTAGAATTTCAGGTCAGATGAGAATGTGGTGTACTCTGGATGTACTTCTATCATCCTGCCGCGGATAAGTGACGCTGAAAAATCAGGGATTTGGCAGTTTCTGTCATCTTCTGAAGTAAGGCAGAGCTTGCTAGCTGACGAAAACTGCACCACTCGGTCAAAACATAGCGATGTGTGACATAAGGCAGAATTTTTATGGGATTGTTTTGATACAGAGGGTTGACCATTGTACAGGGGGCTAGTACAGGGGGGTTGTACAGTTTCTGCTTTGGAAAAATCCTCGTAGTGTGTCTGTTCTCAGGAACATACTGTAACTGCAGGTAGATAGTGGAGTTGCCAGGAATTGTTGTCTCTTGCTAGATTCTCCCTGAGTAAACCATAGCTGTCTCATAGCTCCACGTGGTTTGGCTGGATTTAGGTCGTTAGTCATTATAAACCTGCAATTGCTGTTGAAAGTCTTCTTTACAGTTTATTAGTCATATGCGGAAACGGTCTCTTTACAGAGCAGTGAAAAAAAGTTTGTGTTCTGTTAAAGTTTTATGGAAAGTATGCACTGTGTAAGGTGGGTTTCAGAAGGGAACATAATGTATTTCCTGAATATATAATCAGGTAAATAGTATCTGTTAAATTTTAAATTGCTGTAAGTAGCTTAGATAGGCATTTTGAAACGTTTTTGAGTATTGTTCGTTGTGTCAAGTCAAATCAGTGATACAGTATGGTGGAGGACACCAAGTTACAGGGAGGAATGTTTGGGAATTGCTGCGTTAAGTGATGACATGAATGTTAAAGGCCTCTGTTGTCCTGGGTCACTGAATCCAATGTACAAAAAGATGCTAAGACAGTGTGCTGCTATTTGTGATCAGGTAAGGAAACCACTGACCCACGTGCTCTGTTGTAAACCTGTGGTTACAGTTTTGGCACCAGAATAGCGCCTGCAGGCCTGTGTGTGGGACTGCAGCGTGCTCTGGCCCAGTGCACAGGACAGTTTCTGCCTGGGAGACCTTCCTGAAGGATGAGTAAGGAAAGCAGAAAAGGTGAGAGAGAGAACAGGCGCAAAAAAGATTCACTGGTCTCTCTACCAAGGTTTTTACTGGCTTGTGTATTTAAACCAGAACAGGATGGCTGTAATAAGAATCTAGGTTTCACCTTTCCATTCCTTACATTGCTTGATTGTAGTTCCCCTGCCACCTCTTTCCATTTGGCAGTCTCCTGAGCAGCATCAACGATCTCTGCTGCATTCTCAGTTTCAACTGAAAACAGTAGGTCAGATTCCTCTCTGTATGGAATGATGCATTTCCTTTAATATCTGCAGTGTAAAGTTGGTTGACTTAATCTGAGAGGCTTGCAAGGAGGCTTCCCTTCTTACCCAGTGACTGAGCGTGTTGTCACTGCAGTCCTCTGAGATGCTGCTCAATGGCTTTGAACCAAAAGTTCATTTATGCTTATGGGGCTCCTGAGGTTTAGTAGGAATTTCTTGATGCAAGACTTTTAGTTGAGGTCTGATTTGTGTAAGCATGGGCTGAGAATGTAGTCATGTGTTCAGTTTTTAGAATTTTGCCCTGTGCTTTTCACTGAGGCCAGTTTCTTTCTAGTTGCTCTTTGTATAAGAAGTTAAAGTTGTGTCTATAAAACAACAGTGTCATGAGATTTTTGTGCACTGTTGAATAAGATGAATATCTCAGGATAAATGTTCTGGTTCATGATACTTCTTTGTATTTTCTGAACATGTGATTATGAGTGGGTTTATGTGTTTCAGTTTTAGTTAGTAAAGATGGAAAATATTTTGGGCCAACTTAACAACTGTAAGGAATTGTTGTTAATTCCTTAGTTGAACTAGAAATGTAACTTCAACTTCATGCCCACTGTCTGTGTGACAGACCTGGAGCTGCTCCTGTCCTCTGCCTGGTTATGGATATATTTCTTTGGCAATGTAAGGAAAGATGAGTGGAAAAAAGAAAGAGTCAAAGGAAAAGTCAACTCTGTCATCCACTTGATAATGTAAAAGAGTGATGGATGCATACTGTTCTGGAAAACCTGAGCTTGCTTAGTCTCTTGCTAAGCAGATTGATTGATTTGCTTTTATTATTATTTTTTTTTCAGTAGAAGGTTCAAAGCTTGGAAATACAGAGCAGAAAAGAGCTGCTGAAAGGCATTTTTGAAACAGGGTCTCATTTTGTCTCAAGCATCAGCAGTTCAGGGAACCAGCATGGTCTTCTCAGAAGGTGTGTTAGGAAGTTGCATTCCCAGGTTACCTCCTCAGGATGGCAGACTTTAAAGTGAGGTAATACTTTCATAGACTCTTTTATTATCCAAGTCCAGAGAGTATCAGTGATGAATGTGCACACAGTGCGTGATTCCAACTTACTGGATAGAAAATTACTTTGGTCAGGCCATACGCGATGAACAGTATTTGGCCTTTAAGTCACAGCCTTGTTCTTGTAGGTGTTACTTGGCACAGCCTTTTAGAGGGAAGACAGCATGCATTTAATCTCTCTCTCACTCGAATTCAGGGGTAGCAAAGTTGTGGCCATTGTCCTGGTCCATTCCTTTTTCTCTCTGGCCAGTGAAGCTGCTCTGGGGTCCTTCTGGGACATGGCTTTGATACCCTGCTTGAGGGAATGCTGCTAGGCCCCTTGTCCTGCCCTCTGCAAGCAGCATAGACGGCTGTGCCTAGCTGTCAAGTTGAGGATGGGAAAAGAGGAAAAGTGGATGCTGAGGCAGGCAAACACAGAAGTCTTGGCACCCAAGAGGGCACACTCCGAGCTCTGTCTGTGACTTGCTGTTACAGTGTTATCTTCTTCTTTGTAGTCTTGAGACCGGAGGCCCTGTTGATGCTGTGGTCCTGTCTGGTATGGGTTTCCTTGGTGTGAAGACAAGGAGATGGATTAGGGAGAAAGAGTAACACCAGATTTGGCCCTGGTAAAAGCCTGGCACACTCTGTAGGAGGTATGTAAGACTCCTGCATTCTGGAGTTGTTTTAGCAAAAGAAAAAAAAAATCTAAGCTTTAAATGGTGTTGCTGCTTTTAAAGCTATGCCCAATGTTGAAGAAGCAAATGGATAAAAGCAGTAAAATATGTGCAGGGTACAGAAAGGCGTGCTTGTTTTAGTAGCTGAATCTAGGTAGCACTTTGTGCCAAGGGTATCTGTTTAGGAAGAGGGCTGGTCCACACAACAAAGTTTTGCTGGGCAGGAGCTGTGGCTCCTGAGTGTGTAGCAGTGCTGGCTCTGGACTTACCACTTTGTAAGCAAAAACGCACTTACTGACGTTGCTTTCAGAGGTATGTGGTGTGCGCTTTTATTGTATCACTAAAAAGTGCAGATAATGAGGCTAATTGTGTCTATACTGAAAGTGCTATTACAGGACACTGAGTCAATTCATCTCTTACATTAAACAACAACCTACAAGGACTGTTTTTCCTCTGAAGAGGCACAATTGGAATATGAGAATAGTATTTTCAATTTTAAAACTTGTCAAGTATCTTACTCATGCCCAAACTAATTTTAAAAACTTGAATTGTTAGAGGTTGTCTAAAACAATTTTTGAAAATGTTGTCATAGACCAAAATAGTGGAAACAGATTAGACACATGCTAGTTCTTTTTTAGTCTTGCTTGTTCGTTCAGCTTTAATATTTTCCCAGCATGTCTGCTGATGTGCTTGAACGTGTTCCTATTGAAGATAGTGCAATCATACACGGATCATTACTTTCTCCCTGTAGCCATGTAAAGAAAAACCTGTACAAACTCATTACATTAGTGGGTTAGCAAACTTTACCTCCTGCTGCTCAGTCCTCAAAACAGAAGGAATAAATGGGTCTCAAATAATCTCCTCTATTTACTTAACAAAACAAACTGGACATGAATCTTCATTCCCAGGTGTCTCAGTTGCTTTTGGAAGTTAACGCTAGCTATCAGATAACAGCGACTTCTGTATTCATGGTAAAATGTTTCGTTTTTTACTATTCTAAAGATTAAACAATTTGCTTTTGAAAAAGCTTTTCTGAGGGGCCATATTCACCGCTCACCAGAGATGCAGAGAGTAAAGCATGCGCTGGATGCCAGTGTGCATGCTGAACAAACTCTGTCCTTCTGTACACTGCCACACTTGGGCAGCAGATGGGATTGCACATAAGGTTGGATGAAAGCAGAGGTTTGAGGTCCTGGAGGGGATGTAAGATGAAGGAGGTTTGGAAGATGTAGAAGAACTGTATTTCCTAACGTGTACCTGTGTCTGCACTGCTACAGCATTTAGTTCTTGCATATCAGCAGCAGAATTCTGGAGAAAATAGTAACAGCTTTCCTCCAGGTAAAGAAGGCTGGGCATAATGAGCATTCTAATGTGCCTAAGCAGGTGTTGGAGTGCTCATGATAGCGTATATCGTGTTGGTCTCTCTGAGAGATGTTCAGTTTCTGCTGAGGCTGGTGGGACTGACAGTGTTTCTAAAGCCAGTATTGAAGAGTGCTGGGCTGGTGAGGAATGACTGATAAGCTTAATATCTTCCAGAACTTGTCACAGGAGTAATCATGTTACATGTACTGCCCTGGCATGACTTCATGACTGTGATTTTGCTTGAAGATATCCAGCAGATCATTTAGAAACCCTGTCCATTAGTGAGAACGAAAACTTAGGATGTTCTCTTCTGTCGTATTGTGGTAGATGAAAGGCATCATACATGCACTAAGATGTTTGGGAATTTCTCTACATAGAAGGTATACTGTAAGATCTTAACTACGCATTTATTTTCTCTGTTTAACAGCATGGTGACAACAAGGCAAGTGGAACTTCTTCCAAATCAGGAGAGAAAGAAGCAGGTGTAGCAGAGGTAAATTCAAGTATTTGAACATGCTAAGAATCATTGGTAGTGAATTCCACCCCATACAGGTTTTTGTGTTTTGACAGCAAAGTGGTAGTTTTCAGGTAATTAACTGGTGACTGTAGTTACTCATTCATTCCAGGAATGTATAGCTCTGTCTTGTACTGCTGAGCAGCCTGCTGGAAATATTTCTTTGTTCTGTTGATCCTTTCACAAATACTTCACATTTGTATTGATGGAAATGATCTTGGTAGATATGTCTGTTCTGCAGTGCAGGTACACTGTGGGACGCATCTGATGATCCCAGTTTTTCAATTGTCCAGAAGTAGGGATGAAGCAAGTGCACTGTGACGCTTTCCACCCTGTCAGTATCCTGGCTTTTATTCCAAAGATACAAATCCAAATTCATACATAGATGTTGCACAGATGTCTGTGCCATTTCCTGGCATGCTTGTAAATATGTGGGCCATGTTGTATTTTAGAAAATATATTTATTTGCCTTGCTTCCTCAGGAACTGGTTCGAGTCCCTGCTGGGTTATAACACTGGATTTATAGAAGCAATTTTATAGTCAGAAGCAATATGGGTTGCAGGCAGTGTTAGGAACAGTACTTGGAAAGGTCAGCTGTCTCATTGTTAGCCACTGGGAGGTAGGTCCTTGTGTGCTAGTGAGTCAGGCTGGTATTACAAAGAGGAGGTGTCCAAGTCAGAATGTGAATCCTGGTACTGATAATTAGTTCCCCAAGAATCTCTTCTATTGCAAGCAGGAGCAGACCTTCCCTGAGGAAGGCTAACATTAGATACAGAAAGAGAAGAATTTGTATGTATGCCTGTTACTAACTGTCTACATGTTGGCTTCAAATGTCCGTCACTGACACAGTGAAGCTAGAAATAGGTGTGCCTGGTACTATATTCACAGCAGAAGCTATGTGGAAAATAACTTTGTCTAAGCTGCGGTGCCTTTAACTGCAGTGCAAATCAAGGCCAGTGCATGTTTTTACTGCCATCCTCTGAAGTGGATGATTAAAGCAATTACCTTTCTTTCCTGTCCAAATACCAAGGAAGGCTTGTCTAGCCTGAGAACGTGTTCCTCCTTTCCTCTCTGGACAGTTTTAATTACTGCTTAAATAGCATTGTTCTTTTATACATGCTAAGTTTAATGCCAAATTCTTTGCATGTTGTTCTGAATATAGAAGTGCTGACTTCTTGGGAAGGCTGGGAGTTGAAGCCCATAGTTTGGGTTGTGGAGTTACTGCTTCTGACCTTTCACTGGGAACATTATTTCTAGCTAGTAAAAGAAGGTTTTGCTTTTTGAGTCCTTAGAATCCTGCATTTATGCTTCCTCTTGTGAATTTATTTTTGTATTTGACTTGTTCCTCATTTACTTTACAATACTTAAAAGGGAAAGTAGATCAAATCGCAAAGGGAAAGTAGATCAAATCTCTTTTCCTTAGGCCCACTGAACAGGTTCAGGCCCACCTTGGTTCACATCCACCTCCAAAGCACTCTGATATTTTTAAGCAGTTGAGATAGCAATTAAAATCTTTGTACAGCTTTCTTAAGAGTCTTCAATGTCATATATTGTCTAAAAGTCAGAGGTTACGCCTGCTTTTTGAAGCATAAATTTATGATCTATCTGTAGATACCTGTAGACAACCTTGTCTAGCATATTGAGTTTGTTCACCTCCCTACAAGAAAAGGTTTGGTAATGCATTATAAAAATGACAAGAAGACATGAAGGTCTTTGAAGAATTCATATTCATATTGAAGGGAAAATTGTAAAAGCCTGTATACTCATTGTGTAGCTAAAAATAACAATGACTTTGTTCCTCTGATTCTTTGGGTATATAGTGAGTGGGAGATGCTAATTAGCTGCTTCATCAAGGAGAGCTCAAAATGTGTAAGGCATAGAACGGACTTCTCAAGCCTTTCATTCTTAGAGACTTAAAAGTAGATTGAAAAAAACCCAGCAGGTTTTCCGTAAATGAAAACCTGCTTGGCAAGACATGTACTTGGACAGAGGTGTGGAGGAGATTTAATGGCTCCATTACATTTTTCCATTTCTAGCATCATAATGTGATAAAATAATGCTTTAAAAGAGTTAGGAGTTACCAGTGTGAAGATGATCTATTTAATAACACTATAGTTTTGGAATTACATACAATCACAGTGGGGAGTATGTGCATTTTATCTGTGATGTACTAACAGATGTTAGTTCATAAGATTGTTCCTTCCAGAAGTATTTACTTTTTGTTTCTAGTAGCTTATTGCTTGACTATCACACAGTCCTTTCATCCTTAGATCTTCCAATGTTGTACAGAGGAGACTAGACATATTACCTGAGTGACTTAGATAAAATGTGGGGAATGGGAGGTGCTGAAACAGAGAGCTGGATTTGACTCATTTAAGGTCATCCAACTGCTCAGTAGGACAGAAGAGAAATCAGGTCACCAAGTACCAGGCTGGTCCACTCAGTGTGTAATAAACAGCATCCTCTAAGCTCAAAGGCGAAGCCATGAACTCCCTGAAGGCCATGAGCCTTTCCATCTGAATCATGGAACAGGCCTCCCTTTCTGCATGGTACTGGTAGCACGGCTGGCAGCTGCAGTTTGTGTTTCCTCCTCACTTGAAAATGCAGCTTCTAAAATCCACTCTGTTGTACTACACTGGAGGGTGCTGACACTTAAATTGCACAGCTAGAGCCAACTGACTGGCTGGAAGAGGCAGACAGCAGGTGAGTTCAGGAGTTTCCAGCAACCTCTGTTCTGCTGAATGGCTGCGCAGGCTGGAAAGTAAAGGGAGGACACAGTCCTTCCCTGCCACTCTTCCCAAGGGTCCAGCTCTCACCTCCTCTGCTCAGTGGCTGGAAACATGAAGTTTAATGTAGTACTAGGGTTCCAACTCTTCCTTCTAGGATACTAAATTTAGTCTGTTTAATTTCTGAGAACAGAATTAAGATGTGGCCTTAGATTTAATATACCCTTTTTACTTTAACCCTGATCCTTCACAGCAGCCTGTGGCAGTTACTTGGAAGTCCTTTGGTTGCGTTAATACTCAGTGCATTGCATCTAGCACAAGAGAGAAGGTATTGTGGAAGGGTTTCAGAGGGGCTAGGACTGTGATAATCCTGCTTCATAGGGCCATGTTGCTCTTGGATCCGATTGATCTTTGCTTCATTACCTGTTAGCAAAGACACTCATACTGCCTTGCCTTATTTCACTGGTGTTACTCAAGCACGTCTAGATAGACTGGGGGATCTACTTGCCACAGGAATGGTCAGCTTTAGGTTGAAATACACATAATCTGTTAGTCCAATGATGAGCAACTATCTATATGTGTATCTATACCTGGTGTCTTGTAGACAGAGGTGAAAGATTTGCTGGAGGGACAGAGCTGGAAGCTGCAGGTGTGCTAGAATATGTAATCAAAAGAAGATACACACTTCTTTATTAGCATAGTTGACCATGAAAGTGTGTGTGTGTTATGGTTGTATTAGTCATTGCTCAAAGACAAAGGTTCCAGTCACAAGGATATAATGTCTTGGTTGTCAGAACCTTACATTTGTTGAATTCACATTCTAAGAAGGAGACTTCTTGAGCTAAATCAGCTTTAATGAAACGTTTTAATTCCTTGTGGATGTGTGTCTGGTAGATGCTAGCAGAAAAGACTGTTGTTGGAATTGGTGGGTTGCTCAGGCACTTGCAGTTGCTGCATGTTTGCAGCTTGGATGCACCTGAATCCAGTAAGAGTAAGTGATGTGCTGCTCTTTTTGCATATCTGCCTGTGTTCTCACTGTGTTGACATTGTGGTTCTGAGTCAACATGTTTGCAGCATGCTATTGCAAAGTATATGGAATAGGAAATTTCATTTTCCTTCCTTGGAAAGACCTATCCTCCTTTTACTGTCATAGAGGGAAAAACTGAGGAGAGCTTCTGTATCAGTCTAAAAAACTAGCCTGTGAATTGTTGGCATCTGAACATAAAAATGCGGTATTAAAAGGAAGACAGAATCATATATTCTAGGAATTTGAAGCCCCAGCTTAGAATGGGGCCAAGTTTTACCGACTATGGTATGAAACAAGACCCTCCTAATGCATCCTGCCATTTTGATTCATGCTTTACAGCAGTGTAGACAAAATACATACTGCTAGCTCAGCTCATTATTCTTAACAGGAAATATATTCTTTAGTTTGAAAAGATGACAATGTTAATTGGCACTGAAGCATCACTGCCCTTTTGGAGCTGATTCTTTGCTCTGACCTCAGGATTTCAGGGGTAGCTTTTAATCCTGATGCTTGTCATGCAGGATTCAGTTACTCGGAGTCCAGGGGTATAACGTTGAGTAATGACTTCATGAGTGATAAAAATCTGTTGGGGTGCCCAGTACTAGTCTGGGTTATGGAAGTGCATAAATAACTTTGACTGAAGCATTTGTGAGGCTTCTTTGCATTTTGGTACCAAATTATTTATTTTAAACTGCATTGGTTGGGTTTTTATCCACCGCAAGAGCACCTGGTGGCTGCAGGGGAGTGTGATCCTCAGTGGAGGAGTGGAGGGTTTCTGAGCAGTACAGGACCAGCTTCTTTGCCCGTCTCACTTTCCTGTTTTTGTTCTTCTTTGGCTAAGATTCAAAAGGTAATTGTCAAAAGCATTTCTAGGACAAGAGACTGCACGTTCTTTCCTCATGTGATTTTCTTTTCTTGTTTGTTTTTTTTTTTTAATTTAAAACAACTATATGCATTCTCTTTGCAGTATTGTAACACTTGAATGTTATAGTCCAAAATGAATATTTAATCCTTATTTCTAGACATCAGTCTTAATCATATCTTCCCTCAGAAAATCTACATATCAAAGAGATACATGTTTTATCTCCCCTTTATTAAATGTGGGGAATTAATATTTCACTCTGAAACAATGTTTTGGCTTTTTGTTTTGAAGCCATTGCTAACAAGGAAGAGTAAGTTGTAAGTACCTGTATGTCAGAGCTTTCATTCCTTCATGCACAATTCTATGCAGGCTCTTGATTCTCCTAAAGAAGCTAAGCTTTGGTAATTCATTAGCCTATTATTATCAGGTTGGGAAGGAGATGTGAGTACAGCTGCAAGGTGCTTCTTCAGCTGATTGTGTCTGAGACTGTCACAGGAAAAAAAAACTTTTCCACTTCTAGGAAGGGGAAAAGATGGGAACAGCTCTAATGGATTTGTTGATAAAGGATGTCAGAGCTGGTTTGCCTGGAAGGGGCATTGTGGGGAGGATGCTGGGAAGCACATAAACCCATTATTTCAATAAGTGTTAAAGAAGGATGAACCTAGCAGCATGATGTGGTGAATTTTTCTGTTTTTACAAATGCATTAAGGGGTAAATACCAAAGAAGTTACTGTTGAAAGATAGCCCTGGGAACTGAAATGTATCCCTCAGCCTGCTGTGATGAGTATTCAGCAAAGCGTAATGATTTGCTGTGGTGGCGTAACTTTCCATGTACCTTATCTCTAGGTAGGCTTTCTCTACTCCAGAGAATTTATTTGCTTCTTTTTCTCCTGTCTCTCCTACCTGTGTATCTTTATTGCTGTTCCACTTACCATGAAACAGAAAAATGTACACATTAACAATTTTTCCTTCATACTGTTTAATTGATTAACAGAAGTTCATGCTCAGGGCAAGGATTTATTTCACTCTATTAGGTTTTTTCCTAGCTCATGCTTGGAGGGGGATGTGAGGAAACCGGCTAGACTTGTATGTTGGTTTTATGTGGCAAGGTTTTGGTAGCAGGGGGGCTACAGGGGTGGCTTCTGTGAGAAGATGCCGAAAGCTTCCCCATGTCTCATGGACCCAGTGCAGCCACCCCTAAGACAGACCCACTGCTGGCCAAGGCTGAGTAACAGTGGTAGCACCTCTGAGATAACATATTTGCAAAGATGGAAAAGCTGTGTGTGCAACTGCAGCCAGAGAGAGGAGCGAGAATACATGAGAGTAGCAGCTCTGCAGACCCCAAGGTCAGTGAGGAAGGAGGGAGGATGTTCTCCAGGTGCCAGAGCAGATTGATTCCCCTGCAGCCTGTGGTGCAGACCATGGTGAGGCAGGCTGTGCCTTGCAGCCCATGGTGGAGCAGATATCCATCTGCAACCTAGGGAGGACCCGATGCCAGAGCAGGTGGAGGCCTGAAGGAGGCTGTAGGAAACCCGTGCTGGAGCAGGCTTCTGGCAGGACCTGTGGCCCTATGGAGACAGGAGCCCACAGGAGCAGGTTTGCTGGCAGGACCTGTGACCTGGTGGAGGACCCACACTGGAGCTGTCAGTTCCTGAAGGGCTGTGCCCTGTAGGGGACTCTCCCTGGAACAGTTTGTGATCCCCTGAGGAGACATAGCAGCAGAGGCTGCTAGTGACAAACTGACCACAATCCCCTTTCCTCATCTCCCTGTGCCACTGTGGGGGCAGGAGGTAGTTAATTCAGGAGTGAAATTGAGCCCTGGAAGAAGGGAGGGGTGGAGAGAAGGTTTTGTATGATTTGGTTTTATTCTTCATTGACCTACTCTGGTTTGATTAGTAATAAAAGAAGCCAACTAATTAAATTAAACTAATTTCCCCAAGTCAAGTCTGTTTTGCCCATGACAGTAATTAGTGAATCATCTCCCTACCCTCACCTTTACCCACAACCCTTTTGTTGTATTTTCTCTCCCCTGTCCAGCTGGGTGGGCACAAGGCATCCAGCCAGGGTCAGGCTGCCACACCTTGTGCCTGAAATTTTTGAGTATGTTGGTAGGTGTTATAAAAACTCCCTCTTCAAAACAGTAATTTATTTGTGGATTTTCAGAGCATCATAATTATGTTAGAAATACTTCTGTACCAAAAGTAAGCTCTGAGTACCATGACCATGAGGTCCTGAACCAAAGGTTGAGCCTGAGGTGCAAGCTGGGAGCTACAATAATGAAGGTATACCTGGTGTACTGATTGCTCTTCTGAGGTCTGCTCTTTTTTGAGTTTTTTTTTTTCCTTTTGTTTTTGAAAATGGAAGGGGGTAGCACTTAAAATTTTCTGTTCCTTCAACAACTTAATAACTTATTTAAAAGCTGAAGCGTTTATGTCTAATACTTTCTACTGAGTCTTTAATGCACTACATCAGTAAAACCCAAAGTGTTCTGCATCTCCGTACTGTCTCTAGAAAATTGCAGTGCATCACACCTCTGTCACCTGCCTTCAGGAGCATTGCCACCTAGGGCCGGAGGACTGCTGGTTTCTGAAGGGCATTAATAATGTTCATTGTAATGAGGGTTGAAGGGTGTGTGGAAGGAGAGTGTCTGCTATTTAGGGGCATCTGGTCAAAGGAGCCATGAGGAGAAAATAGCGACAAACCTGCCTACTTGGTCATATAAATAAGATGAGGGAGGCTGCAATAAGAACAATCCTGACTACTTGGGCATAAAGATATTTATCTCCTCAGCTGGAAGCGTAAGGAAGGGAAGGGACAGAAGTGCAGAGATACCAAACCTGAGCAATTAGTGTCAGTGGGGGCAACAATCAGAAATGACCGTGGGCAGTGGCAGCAGTGGGTGGGCTCTGGGGAGGCTGCAGCAGAGCTGGACTTTGCAGCTGATGAGGCTGGCAGCCCGGTGGGGGTCTGGCATGCTGGTGGGGTCAGTGGGATGGTACCAGCTGATAGGTGGACATAGAGGGATCACAGCCTGGTGCTGGTGCCAGCTGCAGGGTGGAAGCCGAGTGTCTGTGTCCTCCCCAGGGCAGGGGTGTGTTGTGTGGGGTGTGCATGTGTTCACCAGCAAACCTGCAGCTGGGCCAGTGGTGAGCAGGAGACCCCAGTCTGGGCAGGGGTGTCATGTGGGCAGAGGGTCCGTGCTGAGTTTGGGGTGCTGATGGGATGAGGTTGTGTTTACTGCATATTTGCAGTAAGCACCGAGGGGGACCCGTGGTAGCATCAAATTGCTGGGGTATGGGCAGGGGTGCCAAGGTGGCAGAATGGCCGTGACGGTGCTGGGGGGACCTGCAACAGTGCCCATGCTCATAAGCCTGGAGGGTGCTGAGTGTGTGATTGCACTAGTGCCCTCCTGCCTCTGGAGCCCCAGAGGAGGAGACACAGCTGTGGGTGCTGGTTGTTATGGTGAGTTGGGTGTGTGGGTGCTGCTGGACAACAGTGCATCTGGCTGTGCCAGTGTCCTGCCTGCTCATCTGTCTCCGGGATATGTGCTTAGTTTTGTTCCTGGATGAACTTGGAACCCCACCAATCAGCCTGGTGCTGGGCTGGGCCCCAGAAGCTATGCAGGTCTGTACTGGGTAGTACTGGTCTGTACTGGGCAGCACTGTGGGTCAGGCAGGAGTGCCTGGACTGGAGTGTCTGGTGGAGGTAGTCACACTCCTAACATCCCTCTAACTGGAAAAATCACTATTATACTTGTTTTTTGAAACAAGCTGTGAAGTCTTACTTGGATGTCACTGTTCCCAGTGTCACCAGTGTGAAGTGTGAAATCCTTGATGTAAATACCCCACTTTTTGTCAATCTGGTCCACATTTTTGTGATGTCAGTCTTGCATAAGGGTGGCCCAGTGCCCCAGGCTCTGGATGGAGGGTGACTTAAATGTACAGTTTGTTTATCTGAGATGCTGTCCTGGTTTTGGAGAGCAAGAGGTGGAATTAATGAAAGAGGTCTTTAATGACAGAGTCTCTCAGTCTGTTACAGTACCTAGCATCCCATCAGTTGCAAACTGGTGTTTCTGAGTTTGCATATGAGGTTGGTTATTGAACCTCTGGTCATTCTGCAGACTTCCCTGTCTGTAGAGGGTAATGTAAGTCTGTACTCTTTAGCTGTGTTGTGGATTTTCAGCTTAGCAGAGAAATGAATAGGTCTTACCCATCTGCTGCCTCCAAGAATCTGAAAAAGCTTTTTGCTGCATTCATTACTAATCTCTTATTTATCCAGACTTTGTGAGGTGTGATTTCAGCGGTTGCTGAGTTTTTGCAGCGGTACCTGATGGTACTTGATGATAATGGCATTGCATTGGTCAAAAATGGGAGGTTGTCATGGCTTTGTTGTTTCAGTTGAAAGAATATTTATTGACTAGAAAACCCATTATTCTGCCTTTGTCTTTACATCTTTACTTCCTGAGGTATAATGTTAACTTCTGCGTGGTGGTTCAAGTTAAGTCTGTACAGCATAGCTTACCAACCTTATTTTCATTGATACTTTTCATTAAAGTATATATGGTTACTGTTGCTTTAACAATTAAAATGGAGTCACTCTGCTGCAGGAAATGGCCCAGATTTAAGTGCAACATAACAGCCTTTTCTGGGCTAAGCAAAACTGAAATTAATTTTGTCAATTAAAGTTACATAGAAATTATTTCTGGATGACTTGCCTTGTATAAAATGTTCTAATGGACAGTTTTTTTAGTGTACCTTTTTATATACTGCTTTGTTTGCAGTTCTGCTTGGCTTTTCTCCTTCTTCATCAACACTTCTGACCTTTATTATGTCTTTTTTTTTTTTTTTTTAGAAGAAATCAGCAAGTGCTAGTGTTAGCCAACCCCTCAAAACACAGACAATTGAAGCACCTTCTGCTGTTAAGGTAATGCATACTTACAGGAATTGTCTCTTTTAGAAGTCAAAAGGATATGATATGACTTCATTCCCTGCAACGAGACAGAAAATGGTTCGTTTGCCAGCATTCAGCAACACTACAATGCTCTTTATATAGTGAATTGAAATTAAAGAGGAGCGCAGGTCAGCAAAATGCCAGCACTGACTTTTTGAAGAAATAGACATGGTTACATTCTCTCCTTTCACATGTTCTTTGTTAGTCTCCTTGTTATTTTTTAAAATCCTGGTCCCATTGGTATCAGTGGCAAAGTTCATTTGATTTACAGGGCTATGGTTCTTTTCTCACTGTTCAGTATTGTTTGGATGTTTGGATTCTCTTTACTCAATGGGCCTGATGACATTGAAGCAGTGAGAACTGTCTCTGCTTTCATAGCTCCTGGAACAATTCAGTCAGTCAGGAAGTTACCATCCAACGTATTAAAAGATGACTTGCATAGGAGCGCAGTTCATGCTTCCTGAAGAGAAGCAGGGATCACATTAAGTGTGCTGATGTCTTACAGATTATTAAAGTTTGAAATAGGGTGCTGAAAGTATGCTTTCTCATGGTGGTTACATGTGAACTAATGGCTGTAGTTGATGGTCACTGTTTTGTGCAAGTGGAATGCACCTCACTCAAGAGTAGAGAGAAGTAGCCGTATGTTTTATTGAGGTAAAATAATAATTTGACAGTTTAACAAGTTTGATGGAATTTAACAAAGTTTAACAGTGATTTGACACAATTCAGTAAGTTTGATGGCAAGGTTCACTTTATTAATTACTGCATGGAAGAAATGTAGAAAAGAAGGTTGAGTTAGAATCGAGTTAGAAGATTCACACAGAGACCAGAGACGGATAGAGTAAAGACAGCCCCTCCAGTGAACCATGAGTGGACTCCCTTGCTTTCTGAACTCCTTTTGGAGCCTCTCTAAAGCTGGGTCCAAACTAAGTCTCAGACTTGAACAACGGTTAGTGTCTAATGGAATTATCCATTCAATGTTTATAATAATATTGATTAATTATATGGATTAGTAATGCTTTAAAGCATTAATTCAGCATGCTATCAGTCACTTATCAAGGATCTGTCATGGGTAAGGAATCTCTCTGTCTTGGGTAAGGAAGGATCTCAGCCTCAGGTAAGGAATCTCTAACCTAGAGAGTTGCTCGACTCTCAACTCCTGCTCAAGGAGAGAGTTGCTCAAGGGGAAAGTGATTTGGCATGCAGTCCAGTGCAATTCACACTACACCAATACTGATGATAGTACTTACAGACTGATGTAGTTGGCTGCTAGTTGGTAGTATAGACAAGACAGATGTCTTCATCTGTCTTGCTCCAATATCTTGTTCTTTGGTTATCTTGCACTTTCGGGTTTCAAAACCACTCTTCAAAATATTTTTAAAACACTTTCAACTCCCTTGTATGTGTGCAAAGTGCTTTCCGTTGTGCTGGTTCCCCACAGGACATGAGGCCATCTGTTCCTTAGCCTGACAGCAAAGAGTCACTTGAATGTGTGACAGTATTCCATATCTGGAGATACCCCATCATTTAAAAGATCCTATCAGCAGGAAGTGTTTCTGCTTTTGAATGTGATTTTTATTATTTTCTTAATTTATAAATTTAAGTTTATAATTTATAATTTAAATTATAAAATTTAAATTTATAATTTTCTTAATTTTTATTATTTTCTTAAGAAGTAGGACATAGGGATATATAAATCCTGTTGTCCCCTTCTTTCAATGCATTTGTCTATCGCTGAAGACAGCCCAACATTTTTGTTGCTTTTCTGTCTGTTCCTTACAGTTTGGCAGGGCCTGTCTCCTGCTAGTTAAGCTGATTATAGTTGTACATTTGTAGTTCCCTTGGGAGCTGCAAGGGGTGGAACAGGCTCAAGTACAATCTTCTCACATACCAGTTGCCACCTGCATGGTCCCATGGAAGCTCACATTCAATTTTCTAACCAACACATCTTTATGTCTTTTTTTTCTGTATGTGTTCTTTCTATTATAAGCATATAATTTACATTAAGTGTGGAGGCACAATTTCTTGTGATGCTGTTAAGCATCATGAAAAAAATGTGACGTATTGTAATTGCCAGGAATTGTTTTATATTAGGTTATAGCAACTTAGGCTGTGTGTTTTATTCAGTACTTGTTGTTTGTCCAGTACTATGAAAATACTGACCTCATGGTCTTAAAATTGACTCTTAATAGGTATTTGAAGCTTAACCTTTTTAGTTTCTAATTGACCATGAATAGTTTCCTTCATTTTAGGCTAAACCTTCTCTTAATTATATCTTCTAAATTTAACAATCTCCCACAATCCTCGTTGCTTGTGAGCAGCATCTTTCAGCACTGCCAAGGTGCACACACTAAGAGATCACTGCTACCATTATTAGCAGGCAGCAGTGAGGAATTAAAGCTGAACTAACCTCCTTCCTCTGCAGAAGGTACCCTACCAGTGGCTGTGTTTTCTTTACAACGTTTTAAACTGGTTTTGCCAGTTACATAGCCAACAGGAAAGCAAATTTCTAGCTCAGTGTTCAATTATAGCTATAAATAGGCACTAATATTTGCACTCAGCCAGATCCAGTGATCTTTCTTGGATCTTTGTGTTCCTATATGGTAATTCTGTTGATACCAAATGATGTTTTGCTGCTTTTTATGTAGTAGATTTTTAGCATTGCTCTTAATGAGTAATTATTTTCTTTTTGTTGCTGGCTGCTATAGCTTAGTGAAGTGAGAATTTTTGTTCATACTACTTTCATGGACAATTCATTGAAGCAGTGCTGGAAGAATTCAACAACAGTGGAAATTTAGTGAGAATTATTTTTATTTCTGACTTGACTGATCAAGAGAAAGCTTCTTGATCTTAATAATTTAAGAAATTTAAGGTTAGTTACTTTCAGCTGGCATCCAAATTAACACTGTTTTAAAGGGGGATTCAGTCTGCTTTCTTCTGCAACAAACAGGAAAATGACAAGAAAAAAAAGAACAATTATTGAATGTCTTTGAGTGAATACCTACTGTTTATGCAGCAGACTGGGAATTTTGTCACAGACTTGTCTAGATTATCATCAGAAGTGATGCCTACTGTCAGTCTATTTGCTGGGATTTATTTTTTTTTCCTGCTACATACCTTATTTAACTGTCACTAATTTTTTATCCTAAAGTCCTTTCCAACCCTAACTATTTTATAATTCTATGATTCTATGATTTTGTGAGCTTTGCAGTCACTTTATTGTGAAGGAAAGAATTTTTGAGCAGAAATCATGTGAAGTCACGTTACTGATTGGGAACATCCACAGAAATGCTTAAATTTGTTTATGTGTTACTAGTTATAGCGTGAAGGTTGAAAAGGCTATCTCTAAATCTTGAGGTTATTCAGGAAAATATTTAAATGGTCTGAGAACTTCCACTTCATGTTCTCCTTAGAGTAGATTTGTGTTGTGGTGCACAGATCCTCAATTTATAGGTGTTTTGCAGCAAGACCATGGCAATCCCTGAGGCTGTTCCTGCAAGCTGCCTTCAGGGCTGTTGCCAGCACGTAGTCCTGCACATGAAAATCACAGGAACCATGTCTGTGTGGAGATGAGTGCTGGTCATCTTGGTAGCAGTGTCACATTAAGGGGTCTTTACCTCAATAAGAGGTTTACCTCCAAGAAGGGAGAAGATCTTACCCCTTCACTTGTCAGTTTGATGGGTTTGTTACCATCCCAGGAAAGGGGAGATCCTTGCATCCAATCTGCCTGTCAGAGCCCTCAGCAGGTGCTCAACCAGACAGCACAATGTATCAGAGAGTGATTTGGCCATCCTATTCAGAATTCATGGGAACAGATTCACCCATCGAGTTAAAAATTTAAGTAAATTTTTAAAGCCAATTTTAAGTCAATTTCGTGTCAATTTTAAGTCTCTGGAAATGCGCACAAAATAGATCTCAGCTGAGAATTTCTATGATATAACTCAGTGATAGCTTAAAGTTCAAAGATTGCTGTTGATAATATAATACAGTAACTGCAAGAGCAAGTGTGAAAATAACATACATAAAGCCAGCTAAAAACTGATTGTTAAATACACATAAAGTACAGCTCATAACCATCTGGTGTTCCTGTGGGGGGAGAAGACAGGTTCAGCCCATCAGTTGATCCCAGCAGTCATGATGGAGTCTTCCCTAATTTTCTCTCCTCAGTTTTTCATATTTATATGATTTACTTCAAATTAGTAAGTCTCCATAACTCCACCATTTACCAGTTGGTCAACTGACTTGCATAATGTTACATAATGGATTGTCTTGCTACACATGCTTAGGGAAGGGCCTCCTAGCCTGTGCAGGGGTCTTCTGAGCTGTGGATGTGATTTTTATTGTTAAAATGAGATTATAAAGAGGATAGTGCACCAAAAGGACACCCTAATCATGTTTTGCTGACTCTTGAAGACAGGTTGGGTGGGGCTTTGAGCACCTTGGTCTAGTGGAAGAGAGGCAGGGAGATTGGAACTAGATAAGCTTTTAAGGTCCCTTCCAACACAAACCATCCTGTGGTTCTGTAATTCAGATAGATGTCCAGGTCCAGACCTCAAGGAAATGTCTTTCCTGATTAGAGGTTTGTTAGTTTTGTTTTTCTTGGTCTGCCTACACAAGGCCAAAGCCTCTTCAGCTGTCAGTTCTCATCATAAATCAGGGTTGGTTTCTCAGGCTTCCTGATCTTTTAGGAGGCCCTTCTATATTTGCAGGTTTTACATAGTAATACAAGTTTCATTTTTTTAACTCTGTGTTTATGGAGCTTTAACTAAATGCCTATTGAGCTTGAGTGGCTCTAGTAATACGTATTTTGTTAATGGTTGGTTTGAAATTCTCGCTACAATAAAAATATAGCTTCCTTCATCATTTGTGAGGTGATTTATGTACACTACATGGTGCCTTCACGTTCCCCTTCCTGCTGGGATTGTAAGAGAGCCTGGCCATGATGTGTTGGCTCCACTCCACCCTCTGCTCAG